AATAAAATAATCAAAATAATTAAAAAAATACCAAGAAAATTAATTTAAAAAATGCATAAATATTAAATAAATACTTTAAAAAACGTATAAAAATAATTAAATCACTTTAAAAAATATATAAAATAATTTAATTTAATAAAATAAAATAAAATAATTAAAAAAAACTAATTTAAAAAAATACAAAAAAATTAATTTAATAAAACATATAAAAAATTATTAAAATAAAATAAAAAATAAAAAAATAATTTAAAAAAACTTATAAAAATAATAAAATACTTTAAAAAATGAATAAAAATAATCAAATCGCTTTAAAAAATAAATAATTTAATAAAATAAAAAATAAAATAACCAAAAAAATTAATTTTAAAAAATACAAATAAAAATAAAATAAATAATCAAAATAATTAAAAAAATACCAAGAAAATTAATTTAAAAACATATAAAATATTAATTTAATTTAATAAAATAAAATAAAATACAGTCGTCCCTCCATATAGTCACCTCCCATATAATCACATCATATGTAATCACATTTTTATTTAGCCCAAACTATAATTTAATTTATAAGAAAAAAACCTCCATACAAGCACAACCCTTTATAAGCACATTTTTAAAAAAAGTTACTATGTGCCCAACTGTGTGATTGTATGGGAGGACGACTGTAATTAAAAAAACTAATATTAAAATAATACAAAAAAAAATTAATTTAATAAAACATATAAAAAATTATTAAAATAAAATTAATAAATAAATAAAATAATTAAAAAAACATATAAAAATAATTAAAATACTTTTAAAAACATATAAAAATAGTCAAATTGCTTTAAAAAAATATATAATTTAATAAAATAAAATAAAATAAAATAACCAAAAAAATTAATTTAAAAAAATACAAATAAAAATTAGTTTATAAACAAAGTATAATAAACCAAAATAAAATTAAAAAATATTTAAAATAATTTAAAAAACATATAAAATAAATAATATACATTAAAAATATATATATAAAATAATTAAAATGCTTTAAAAAACATATAAAAATAATTAAAATAATTTTAAAAAATATATAAAAATAATTTAATTTAATAAAACTAAATAATTAAAAAAATTCATTTTAACAAAATACAAAAAAAATTAATTTTAAAAAACATATTAAACTAAAAATTAAAATAAAATTAATAATTATCAACATGATAAAAATAATTAAAATATTTGAAAAATATATAAAAATAATTAAAATACTTTTAAAATGTATAAAAATAATCAAAATATATAAAAATAAGTTTATTTAATAAAATAAAATAAAATAATTAAAAATTAATTTAGAAAAATACAAAAAAAATAATTTAACAAATATAAAAATTAAATTTAAAAATAAATATATAATAAAAAAATTAATTTTAAAAAAAATATAAAAAATAACATAATTTAAAAAAAATATAAAAAAATTAAAAAATAATAAAAAAGTAAAAAATATTCTGTAAATACGAGCCAGATATAAATAATTATAATTACCAAGCTAATATATATATTAAACCTAAAAATTAAAAAAAAATCAAAAACTCAAACCCAGAGCAATGCTTGGGTCTTAAGAGCTAATATGTGTATTCAAAACTAAAAATTTAAAAAAAATTAGAAACTTGAACTTGGGCAATACCAAGTTCTAAAAGCTAATATTTATATTTAAATCTAAAAATTAGAAAAAATAGAAATATAAACTCAAGACATACCTGAGTCTTAAAAGCTAAGATAATTGAGATCTAAGAATTAGCAAAAAATTAGAAACTCGAACCCGGTCAAAAACCAGGTCTTAAGAGCTAATAATGTTGAGACCTAAGAATTAGCAAAAAATTAAAAACTCGAATTTGGTCAATGACCATATCTAATATTGAGATCTAAGAGTTAATAATGTTTAGGCCTAAGAGTTAAGAATGTTGAGGCCTAAGAATTAGCAAAAAATTAGAAACTCGAACCCGGTCACCGACCGGGTCTTATAAACTAGTCTGATATCTATTTAAGTATCTGAATTTGATACTAATTGTCCAGAATTTTTAGATTAGACCTCTATTCATCCATTCCTGGTTTAGCGTGACTGAATCGATCAGCTACTTATTAAAGTAGTTCTTTAATTGCACATTAAATGTTACATTGAAAAAGAAAGAATATAAGCATAAATTTGTGAAGTTTAGTTGAATTATGTCGGATCGAACTTTAATTACAGATTCGGTGTGTTTGTCTAGATGGTATTGTATTTATAACTTATTATAAATATTTAATGCCTGAATTTAAATTTCACACAAATATCTTCGTCATGTCAATAATATTTTTGCAAGTAAGAAGGCATCAAATTTTTAAATCACTTGTAAAATTTTATAATTTTTTTTAAATAGTTTATTCTTTAGATATTTCTTCACTTCAACCAGTTCGTCTTAATGATATTACTAAATAAGTTTTGTGTGTATGTATGAATATTATGATGTTTTAAAATAAATCCTATATTTAACATGGTGAAATTCTCAGGTCATTTATTTAATAAATTAAAATCGCTTTTTTTTGTGATGATTTTTCTGTCAATATGTTTATTTTACTCACGAAATAGATTTTTTTACGGAGCAATTTGAATATATATTAAGTCTATAGCAAAATTATAAGCTAGTCATTTTTTTGTTTAATGAATACTGGAATAAGCTACGACTTTATTAATAAAGTTTTGGTATATTTACACTAAAAAACATGCATGCAGACTAACGTTAAAAATTTTCGAAATTACGTTTTAACAGTTGATGTAACTTTTATATCACTTTGACTAAACATAAATCCGGTACACACCGGACAATGAATGTAGGTATTTATTTATTTTAAGATTTTTTTCTAAATAAAAATGGGCTCTGAACAACTTCGTACATTTGGTTACAATTATCAACATAGTATTGGTGTTGAGAAAGACGAAAAAAGGCTTTTGATTGTTTATGAAAGCATCTGAGTTAGTTAATTAGGCTGCAATTAATGATATTAGTAATTGTTATTATTGAATTGAAGTAGAAAGAAATTACCAGAAAACATTTGAGAGATCGGCTTATTTGGATATTGCTGAAGCAATAAATTCGGTTGCTAATTGTTATGAAACTGGAAAGGAGGTTGATCAAGATTATAATAAAGCATTTGAATACTATAAAAAAGCTTTTAATATGGTTGCCGAGAAAGCATCAGTTAATATTGCTCGATTTTATCGAAACGGTATCGGTACAAAGAGAGATATTCAGAGTGAAAATTATTGGTACAGAAAATATAAAAGTCTTTTGAAAACTAATAAATCACCAGATTATATCAATTCTGAACTTAAGAGAATATAAGACGATGATAGATTTAAAGTATCTAAGATTGATTATAATGAATTAAAAATTATCAGGAAAAAAGAAGAGGAGGATTTGCAACTGTATATCGTGCAATTTGGTCCGACAGAATTAATGGCACAATGAATTTATCCAAAGAATTGAAAAATTATACGAAATTGGTTACGAGAATCCTTAATTCTTGAATTGTTACGGAGTGTCAAGAAATAATTATGGTGATTATATGGGCTAGGTGCTGAGAAAAGGGACCAAATTGTCAAAACAAAAGATCTTCAGAAAATCAATTTTTATGTTGTAAATCTTATAATAAATTATAAGAAAGTACAAACTTTAAAGAGCAATATAGCAAAATTTTATTAATACAACTACTTTTATGTCTTAATTAAAAAATGATTCTAATCTTATTCTAAATTGATTTATATTAAAAAATATCTTTTGAAAAAATAGTCAATTTGGTCCCTTTTCTCAGCACCTAGCCCATATTATTGTTATGGAGATTGCACCAAAAGGATCGTTACGACAAAATATTATACAAGTATAGCATTAGAATGGAAAGATAAATTGAATATTTTAAATGGTATAGCTTTTATCTATCTCGAGTCGATACATTCGTTCACAGAGATTTACACAGCGGAAACATTTTGTAAGGAAGTAATCTCTAATATGTATATATTACTGATCTTGGCTATCTAAAAAGTAAAATAAGGAAAAATTTGTGGAATTCTGCCTTATATTGCACCAAAGATTTTTGTGGGTCAATCGTACACTTATGCATCAGATATTTACAGTCTTAAAGTTATCGCAACAGAGATTTCGACAGGACAAAGAGCATTTGATGGAATTCCGTTTAATGGAGACTTTGTATCATAAATTGTGGGTGGATCAAGACTTAATTGTTTCGGACCAGATTGTTTATTAAATTAGCTATGAAATTTATGGATAAAGATTTTAACAAACGACCTACTGCAGCAGAAATTATTGAAATAATCACTCGTTTGTTAGATGAAATAGATCAAGACGATGATAATGGAATTAAAAAACATTTTTTAGGAAGTTAATAAGATTAAGCTGAGTCCTAATGAACAAATACATTGTCAAGACGTATATACTAGAAAACTATATGATACGAACAAATTTTAGAATATATTATAAGTCACCTAGTACGTAGAAATCGAGATTGAATTCTCAAGTTTATATTAAAATATGCATTTAGGTTGCTTACGTTAGAAAGATTAACTGTAGTAACTTTTTTCTTAGTTATCAAAATTTCTTCAATCTCTAATTACATTATATTACAGAGTTAATATTTTCTTCTCACTTAATTTATATTCTTATCATTGTGTTTTGGTAGCTTGTTTATTGGGAATTTACATCAAATTTATCTTCCTTCAAATCTCTATCTCAAACTTTGAAATCCTATATTCAGGGTTGGAAATGAACTATGATGGATTCTGAATAAATTGTCAATGGATATTGTCCATTGGGCCAATGGACATAGTCCATTGGCATTTGCTAAGCCACATTTTGGTCCATTGGCCAACCTAGCCTATATTTATAAAAAATATAAATATTGATCCTAAAAAACGATTGCGGATTACCAATATATAACAACTTAACAATACAAATTTTAATAACTATGTATCGAAATTAAATACCGCATACTTCCAAATAAGCGCTCTCGCATCCTACATATTCTCCCGATAATAAGAACCCCTTTAAATAGTTACTGGGATAAAAATCGGTTAAACCCAGTTTGTCCTATAACAAAAAAAAAGGTGCTTTATTCAAATGTATGTTTATTAGAAAGTTATGGCATCTATGTATTTAATTATAGACCAAATGTATCCTTTTTGTTTGAAATTGACATCCAAATACACCCTTAATTGTTATCAGGTGAGATCTGAGGGTTTTGTGTTACGTAATAAAAGTTGAAACATAGCTTTGACATTTGCTAGAAAATTTTTGAAAAGACAAAATTCGAAACTGGTGAAACAAGCGAAACTGATAAATGAAAGCGAGAGGCGGTAAAACTAAAAAGCACCGAAATTAAAATAAACGCGAATATTATTTATAATCAAAATTCGATGCAAACTAGCTGTTCTATAAGTTTATTCTTTATAGAGTTTAAGACTCAATATAATAAATTAGTCAATTAATGATTATACAGGTGATCTTGATAATTGGGATTAAAGAGATAAACTTGAAGAAAATAACTCGAATTCCAGTAATTCGCGATGAAGGTTTAAAAATCTTTTTTTATAAATTCACTTGATTATGATCTTTCCCAGCATCTCCAACAAAAATTTCGGGTACGTTATGGTCGAAAAATGCTTCAAAGTTGGTCATTACGTTAGCATTTTTATTAGAGTAGTTTATTTAGTATACTTGCTCAAAGAATACTTTTTGATGTTCAAAGGTTATTTTATTTTATTTTTTACATTTTATATTATAGCTAATCGAGGTTTTCTATTGGTTAATCAGGTGATGTTGAGTATTAACTTTAAATTCAGATACATACCTGATTTTTGAGCATATTAAGGATTTCTCCAAAGTTTGTATTTTATTATTTTTATTTTGCACATATATTAAACTAACTACAGTCAGATCCCTCTAAATGCTACCCCCTAAATGCAACACCTCTCTAAATGCACGTCTTCTTTAGGGCCCAACTAATATTGCATCTATAGATTTTTACCTCTCTAAATGCACGAGCTAGAGCTGGTCCTGACGACGTGCATTTAGAGAGGTCTGACTGTATTTGTTCGTTACTTTTTCGGCGTTAATTCAGAGAAAACTTTGTGTGATAGTTTATTTTTTTAAAAAAAACCGGACCAATTAGCCGATTTTGGAATCAAAAAGCATCAGTACGACTAATCATGTTGTTGGATAAATGCCGGCTAGCCAAAGGTGCCGGAAATAAATTCAATTAAAGGACATGAAGTCCGCAAAATACATTATGAGTAATTTTAGCTAAGTAATTTAGCTAAGTAAATCGAACTGAAACGATGATATGCTCCTGTAATTGTTTATTTTTTTTTTAAAAAAAATCAATCAGCCGCACTGAAAATAATTTATTTAATACGGGTTCTATTTGAGACAAGAATGTAATTTATTTAAAACTTAAATTTTTAGAATTTTGAAACTTGAACTTTAAAATGGTGCATTTCTATTGGCTACCTATCTTTTCTGAACAGACCTGAATATGAAACCAAAAATTTTTTATAAATTTTATCTTAATGAAAAAAATTTTTTTTATTCAATTCTGAATACTTTATCTAGGCGATAGCAAGATGCTTAAGAACAATCTAATACAATTAATAACGAAAGAGTTCATAAATATTTACCTAAAGTTTGATTTAATCATTTAGTTAAATGATAAAGAGTGGCATACTTATTTATTGTTTTTAATATTTGTACCTTTCAACAAATTCATTCGTTATTGTCGATAAAATGCTAAAGTTCCAGAAAATTTTAAATCGATTAATTCACCCAAATGTTTAAAAAAATCTTTATCGAATTTTTTACATAACGTATAGGCGCGTAATAACGCACATGGGCGTTATTTCGAATTTTTTAAAAATGGCATATTTGACTCAAAATAACGCCCATGCGCGTCTCAAAATAACGCGACTCCATATGTACCAGATTGTAATTCAAGAAATTAGTTGATTTTTTCAAAATTAGCATAATGATTCGAATTATTGCGCATGCGCGTCCCGAAATAACGCGCCTATACGGTACGTTTCACCACATATAACACGTAAAATTAATTTGTATGCATTTCATTCATTATATAATCGTACATTTCGTATCGTTCAAAAGCTAAAAACAAATGCAACATTATAAAAATAATGATACCTGAGATAAATTAAGAAATTTTTAATAAAACTACTGAATAAATGCAAAAGTATCGCTATTCTTTCACAAATTTATTATTAGTTGAAAAGCAATGTGAAGGCTCAGGAAATACAGTTTAGAAAATAAATAAAATAACAAAGTTACACCATATTGACACAAATAAAAAAAAAACTTTAAAAGCGTACCAGATTGAAAAAATGCGGCTTAAAATATTATTACCTAGATTAGCTTCACATATTATTAGGTGCTTTATAATTTTATTATAAAAGTAATAAAATTTGGGTTTGAAGTTAAACAAGTCCATTTTATTAGAGTTTTTGAATAAACTATTTTAAAATCTCATTTATTTTCAATTTAAGATCAGAATGTATGTATAAACCATTATATATAACCATAATAAGGATTGGACATTTGAATAACTTCATTTGATAATGAGCAGGTAGATTTATAAAAGACTTTTAAACTTCATCTACATAAAGATACATACGAATCACTGACACTCCATGTTTTAAGCCTTATTTTTTAATCGAATTGTTTATTATATTTATTTAATACCAATTAATCTTTATTCTTTTTATCAATTTTCAAAAAATCTAATGATATAAACAAAACAAATATCATTTATTAATTGTAATGTTAAGCCTATAAAGAATAATTCTTAGAATAGCAAATTTGTTAATAAATATTGTTAGCAATAATATTAGCATTTATTTTCATTTCGGTGATTTTGTAAGTTTATTATCTCTTACTTTCACTTACTGATTTTACCTCCTTTCACCAGTTTCATCAGTATCGCTTTCGTCTTTCAAATTATTTTGGCAAAATTCAAAACTATGTTTCGACTTTTCAACGCAAAACCTCTAGGTTTAGTCTAATAACAATAGTATTTTTGTCATTTCTTGAAATACTCTAGTGTTATAGGGTTGTTTAGTATGGTTGGTAATTGTTAAAGGTGTATTCAGAAGTCAATTTTCGAACAAAGACATCTTAATTTACTTGTTTTATATTTAAGTACGTAGATATCATATCTTTCTAATACAAAGTTAGAGCGTATATTTATGAAAATTTGTATATCGATAATTCCCAATCATTTTTAAAATTAAAATTTATACTTTAATAAAATAGGATTGGAGATTGTAAAAAATTTTGATAGCTAAGAAAAAAAATTACTATGGTCGCGCCTTCTTAAGTGCATATTACATACTGTAAATACATATAATTTAATTTAAATATAAACTGAAGAACATTGCACTTAATTTCTATGTACTAAAAGGCTTACTAATATATTCAGAAAATAAATTCGTATCATGTAGTTTACTATATATATATCTTTGTATTTGTTTATTAGGTTCTAGTTTAATTGTATTAGCTTCTAAAAATTGTTGTTTGATTTCAAAATCATCTTGTTCCATTTCATCTAACCAACGAGCGATTATTTCAATAATTTCTGTTGCTGTAGGTCGTTTGTTAAGATCTTTATCCATACATTTCATAGCTAATTTGATATAACAATCTGGTCCGAAACCAATTAGGTCTTAATCCATCAATAATTTTTGATACAAGGTCTCCATTAAACGGAATTCCATCAAATGCTCTTTGTTCGGTCGAAATCTCTGTTGCGATAATTACAAGACTGTAAATATATGATTCTTTAGTATACGATTGACTCATCAAAATCTCTGGTGCAATGTACGGCAAAATTCCGCAAAATTTTCCTTCTTTTGATTTTTTAGAAAGTCCAAGATCAGTAATATACACACGTTGCAGATTACTTCCTAGCAAAATGTTTCCGCTGTGTAAATCTCTGTGAACGAGTTTCTGCGAATGTATCGACTCGAGATCTAATGTTATACAGTACAAAATATTCAATTTATCTTTCCATTCTAATTGTGCCACTGTACAAGATTTTGTCGTAACGATCCTTTTGGTGCAAATTGTAAAACAATAATATAATCACCATAATCATTCCTTGACACTCCAAAACAGTTCAAAAACGATGGATTCTCGTAACTAATTTTGCAGAAATTCTTCAATTCATGGATAAATTCTTGCTCATTTTTGTTTGAATCACGAATATCCACCTAAAGCTCAGTTCGTATGAATTCTAGTGATTCCGATTAACCATCACTATGTTTTGGTTTATTGCATGATAAAATTGTTTTTAACATAGGTTGTAGTTAAAAGTAGATGTATTTTGAAGTTAATAAAACTATTCAATTAAATTGAACTATCACTATTATCAAATAATGTAAATTCAAGCTATTATAAAATAGAACGGAATTAAAATAAATGCTTATTATTTCATTACGCTCTGATAATAATTTAAGTGCTATTAGTGATTGTTTTTTTTTTTCTTCAATTAATAAATGTCTAATTTTGGTGCTGAGCCTCAAGAAGTATGAGTTATCTATATTATTGACGAAAAATGATAACACCACTTTATTCGATACAAATATTTCTTTAAGTGTTGGTAAAGAAGGTTACCAATTGTAATAATGACATATTCAAGATGACAGGTCTTATATTATGAAATCAAATACTTTCATATCTGTTTTTACTTTGGCAAATTCTGATACATTTGTTGCTTCTGAAACAAAGCATAATTTAAAGTTATAGCAAATTTTTTATCTTTTTTTTTAATTTTAATAAAAGAAACGTATTATTAAAAACTAAACAATAATCTATACTGGTATCAAACGTCGAATGTTGAAAGATCATAAATATTGAGATCAATAGTAACTAGCTTTTAAAAAACAATACAATAAATGTCAAATGCAAATAATGGATTCTAATTTCATTTTTAGAATTCCGAATCAGAAAATTAAATCGGCATAACCGGTGATAAAATTAGCTTTTTTTGATAAACATTCATCGGTAAACGATAATGTAAATAAGTACATATTTTAAAAAAATAGTCACTTTTTTTGAAATAAAATACGTCACTTATTTTATATGAAATCAGATGCCGAGTCATTAATTCTGAAACCCCAATAATTAAAAACAATGTTCAATAAAAATTTTAGTTTATACGATGTTTATTTTTATGTTTTAGTATAAGCTTCAAAAATATACCGTATTTTCGCGGAATAACACGCATGAGCGTTATTTAGAATTTTGCCTCGAATTAAGCTTAGTTTAAGCCAAAATTCGAAATTACACTCTGCGCGTTATTCCATGAAAATACTGCAAAGAATAAACCTATAACATGATAACCGCTTATATCTAGCTATAATATAATTAATAGCCCTAAAATTTTTGTTGGTTAATTCGAATAACTTCATGAGATCATAAGCAATAAATTTATAATATAGATTTTAAAACCTTATCTCTAGCAATAAGATTCAAATTACAAACATTCCATTCTTTTTTTTACGATTTTCAACCTCATATTTTTAATCCACTTTTTTTAACCCCACTTATCAAGACTACAGAGACTAATCATGTAAGCAAATATCATTGTAATTTATTATATCAATCTCTTAAACTTTTAAAGAATAAAACTCTTAGAACTGCCAATTGGGTATAGAGTTTGATAATAAATAATATTCTCATTCATTATTATTTCGATATATTTGTAAGTTTAACCGACACTCGCCTTCATTTATAGTTTTTCCACTTATTTCACCAGTTTCGTATTTCATCCTTTAAAAATTTTTTTAACAAAAGGCAAAACTA